AGCTTGGTCATATCGTGAGTCGAGCTCATTCCCTTTTTCTTGAGCAGTTTAAACAGCTCGGTCGATGTCTATTGAGTCCAGCAATGCTCATTGTTTTCCTCACGTGTCTGTTCTTGTCATTTCCATGCGAGAACAGTTAATGTTATGGCATGTGTTAAGAAGGTAACGCCCTTTCACATATGATATACATAATTTTCAATAGTGTATTTAGTGAAACCCTAAATTAATTGTAGTTGTGTTACTTAACCAGACATTTAATAAATCCAACCTACATATAATATACGTAGTTTTCGATAGTGTATTTAATGAAACCCTAAATTAATTTTAGTTAGGTTACTTAACCGGGAATATTTAATAAACCCAACCTAATCCATGACTGTTGATCCTTCCAATCTCCACCGATACTTAGAGCCAAGGTCCTTCAAACCCTTTGGCTGCTAAGCATGATCATTGCCCTTCACACTCCTTCCTAATATGGATAGGAAGGTTTTCAAGAAGTAAAGAAGGTATGTGAATCGAATATTTTAAAGAAGCTCGGTGAATCGAAGACTGATTAGGTACGCAATTCTTTATGTTCATTTGTTGTTTGATGCAAATTTTTTAACTGATTTTTTGTTGTTATTGGGTATTGGGTTGTGATTCAAATAAGGGTTTTATTTGGATTATGTTTTTTTTTAGATTAGGATTTTTTCCAGATTAAGAAATGTTTAAAAAATATAAATTTATTGTTGTCATTGGTATTGGGTTCTAAGTCAAATTAGGGTTTTTAAGAATTACGATTTATGTTAACTGATTGTTTGTTAATGGACATAAATGGCTATGAATGTTCATGACTTGATCATACATTATGATGACCAACAATTTTTAGTACAAAGAGTTGATACAAATATGTATTGTCATGTGCACTTTATTATCGGATGTATTCATGTTGGCAAACACATCTAATTCTATTTGTTTAGTTTTCAAACTTTATTGTGATGTGCCTAGTTCTAATAGCAAAAGGTTGGTGGATGATGACAATGACTTGATGGAGATATTTGATATGCATAGAAATAGAGAACAGATAAATGTACATGTCATTGCAGAAGGAACTGAAACTATTGTGAGAGACATAACATTTGAATGTAATGGAATCCCTCAGAGTAAAGGAACTAAGAATCATGGCAATGAAAATTAGGGCAATGGGAATCAAGTCAATGAGAATCTGGGTTGTGTTAATGAGAATCAAGGAAATGAAGATTAGGGCAATAGGAACCAAGTCAATGAAGAAGTTGAAAATAATGATTACACTATGCAAAATACCTACATCCCTTCTAGTAGTTAAAATACAATCTTTCTTTGTTGGCCTTCTCCGATTCGACAATCTTAATCACATTCTTTTTATGACAATAACATTGGTCATAAGCAAATCTTATATCGACATTTTCCTCTCCTATATCTTTGCCTCCGCCAAAACTGGAAGAAGAAGACATTAAGCCCTAGCTTCAACAATGTCACAAATCTTGATATATTATAAACAAAAAAAAAATATATTCATCCAAAACTTCATCAGTGGAGTAAACCAAAAAAATAATAATATGAAATACACCATAAAACCATACATCAATGAGGTAGAGGTTTCCCTTGCAGAGGTAGAGTTAGGAAAATTTATGACAGGGGGCAAAATATAATTGAAAATAATTCACTAATTGATACAAACAAATTAAATTCAAGAATGGTAAAAAACTAAGATTCAAAACAAAATTATTGTGAAGTAGTAAATTCAATTTTTGTTTAGTCAAAACAAAATCTAATTAAAAAGATACAAAATAATTTTTTTAGTACATTTTAACCTAATTATATATTTCAATAAAATACAACATTCTTTAAAATTTCTAAAATTTTATATATTAATTAAATATAAATTAAAATTTCACTAATTTTCTATTAGTGCGCATAATTACAAGTCCATAGTAAAATCATTCTAGTATGAACATGGGTATATGAATATAGACAAATTAAAATAGACTACTATTACTAAAAAATGGTAAATGAAAACTAAAAATTGCTCTTAAAAAGTGTTGAACATTGTGTTTTTTTTTTTTTTTTTTATCATGTGAACATTGTATTAGATAAAGAGCAATATTGCCTTTTGATCAATATACAAATAAATCATGATAGTTACACCTGATTTACTCAATGCAAAAATAAAATATTTATTTTAGAAGGTTAGTGGACCATTAATTTATTGTAAAAATAAAAGACTAGAACCATTATTAAAAAATTTAAAAATTTAGAGGGGTAAAAATAATATGTTAAATAATTTTAAGATTTTTTTAAGGTCGGTACACCATACGACACTTATTTGTATAAAAGTCCCCCCTAAAAAATATTTTGAATATAAGTCGATGTAGTAGTGAAAAAGACTCTTATATCCTTTTTTAAGTACCAACGAACTTTGGTCCAATGATATTTCTTACCTTATGAAGATTGTGCCTTCTTGAAATTAAGGGTTCAAGTCCCCCTCCAAAAAAAAAAATATCCTTTCTTAACCACTCCACTTCTGTGTGAAAGAGCAAAAATCTCAATTAATGGAAAATTAGAAATTGTCACCCATTTCCATCATTAAAGGACACACTTGACAAGAATTAAGGAAAAAAGAATCAGTTGAATCCCCC